GCCAGGAAGCCCCTTCCTCTGGACCAGGAGCGGTGGGACGGCGGCTCAGAAGCCCCTACCTCTGGGCCAGGAGCAGCGGGACTCAGTAACGTGGTCTATTGGTCCGGTGTCCTCTGCATCTTTGTAGTGTGGAACCAGGTGGCTGGCCTGTCTGCAGCGGGGTGATTCGGCGTGTTCCGCGAGACTGGTGACCTCGGTAGGGCGTGGGCAGACCTGCCTGCCTGCAGCGGGGTGATTCGGTGTCTCACCTCAGTCTTGATAGGTAAATACACTGTGACTAGATCAAAGAATGTTTCGTCTAAAAAGCCTTTGGGGCCAGGGATTTAGCTCAGTGGTGCTGCTGCCTGCCTGGAAAGTGCAAGGTACTGAGCTCGATCCCTGGTACAAAAAAAAAAGCCTTTGGACTTTCAATGTTTCACAAATGAACAAATGGGTAATTGCACCATTCAAGCATGACACGTCTTAAGTGGAAAAACCAGTAAGTTGATTATATACACCCAGTATATATTTATAACTATATATATACTTAAAACTTGCTAGTAAAACCAGAAGGCAAAAAAACATATCTGTTGTGCAATAACGCCTAAATAGCCTCTGGGAAAATAGCAAATCACATAAGCAAGCAATTTTACAAAAGGTGGATAGTGAAAGATTCTCAGCTTTACTAATAATGAACAAAGTCCAAGTGAAGATAAGATGTATTTTACTATCTACCAGACTGATAAAGTTTTAAAAGCTTGCTCTCCCTTTGATAATGAAGAGAAACCGAGAAACTTGTTTGGGAATACATTCAGGCATGTTAAAGACCTTTTTCATTGAGCACATACAAATGGCCAAGAGTGCTCATCATCACTAACTTTGAATGCAAAACCAAACCACAAGGAGTGGCCATTTCTCACCAGTTAGGATAGCTATTCTCAAAACAGCAGAGGGCTGGGTGTGTGGCTCAGTTGTACAATACTTGCCTGGCAGGTACAAAGCCCTGGTTTCAGTCCCCAACACTGGGGGAAAAGATGTTGATGTAGACAAAAAAAGCAACCTTTACACACTGGTTGGGAGTATGGACTGATGCGGTCATTATACGAAACAGTACATAAGTTCCTTAGCCTACCCAAAAAAATGAGGATATCACATAATGAGTATAAATATAAAAAGTTTCACAAAAATGTGGTACTGGGGATAGAACCCCCAGCTGTTTGCTTTTTTGAGAATAGCTATTTTAAGTGGTGAGAGATGGCCTCTCCTTGTGGCTACAATCAGTTGGCTTTAAACACTTTTTCACCCAAAAATTACCCAACAGACTTTTCCTACAAAATTTGGCTTCTCAGACATAGTCTAGAGTCTCCCTTACTATATCTCCCATGTGTTTCCTATTCCTTTCTTCGCCATATCAATACAGTATCTTTTCCTATTTTCTAGCTTTCCCATAGCTAGAAAATTGTTTGTCCCTTTTTTAAACTCCATTAAGATATAACTTTAAAGAATCTAGACACAACGCAGCAGTGTCTAGAACATAAGAGCTCAATGACCATATTAAAAGATTTAAATAGTGTTACATGTTGCTAGCTGTGTTGTGCAGGCCTTCAGCATCCCATTGCTTGTGAACAGTGGAGAGAAGTAAACAAAAATTTACTCATTACTGAGGCAATGACTGTTGAATCATGGCACATCCATGCAACGGAAACCTATGCCCCTAAAGAATGAGTTTGATCTCATATTGACATAGTGTTATGAGAAGAGCATTTCCAGTGGCAATATGTACCTAATAGAGGTGTGCATGTTTACACAGTTACATCGTTAATCACACAGGTGGAGATAATAGGGTAAGGTGGAGTCTGACACTGCTTGGTGTTTGCTTCGTAGTGAGCTCCAGGCCATTTCCCGGGTTTTGCCTAATCTTTCCGACCTGCTTGAGAGGACTTCTCTGCTCTCTGGAGACCGCAATTATTTAAGAAGCCTCTTTCATACCCTCTGGGAAGGACAGGGCATCACCTGTCTCAAGATTCAAATCACATTCAAGGGCAAGGTCTATCTCCCTCTGTGGTGACCATAAAATGTAGATATGAAGATATTTCTGATATACAGCTATATGCATACAGTAAAGTCTATACATACATATATACAAACATAAACCTACATATACAAATGTTACTGGTACTCAGACACAACATATGCATTGAAAAGCACCAGGAAAAATATGCTCAAAACTACTAACTGGTTATCTGATGACAATTACTGGAAAATTTTTTCCTTTCTTAATTATATATTTCTGTATTTGAAATTTTACAACTAGTATATTTATATTCAGAAAAAAATTTGTAATGATTATAAATCTTGTTAATATAAAATGAGAAACAGTGAACTACTAGTTCAAAGTTTAAAAAGCTAATCTTAAATTACTGCAACAGAACGTCTTCCCAAAAAATGTTAGGAAAAAAACAGGTCCAGTTGATAAAGAAGTACTTTAGAGAACTAAAGCCCACCTATAAGCAAAAGTGAAAAAATTAAGAAATTAATAGTGAAATATCAGTGTGGAATGCAAATCTAATCCAAGCACTCTGGAGGCTGAGGCTGGAGGACATTGAGCTCCAGGCCACGTGGGCTACATAGCAAGTTCAAGCACAGCCCAGACTATGTAAGACCCTGTCTCTAGAAAACCAAAACAAAAAAATGAAACCATCACTAACAAAGGAAGTAAAAAGATTAAAAGAATGCTTCCCACAGATAATCGCTAGTAAATTTGAACAGAGTAGCCAATAAAAAATTCCCTGACATTTACTCAGAAAAAACCCAAGGAAAGATCTCATGAGAATGGCTAAAGAAATACAGTACATTCTCCACAGTGAAAACAGGATTCACTCACCTTCCCTTTCCCTCTCATGTCCAAGGAACATAATCCAGTAAAAGAAGCCTCCCCATGTCTTTTTTAATGAAACTAACTTGAAAACAGTTCTAGAAGTGAACATAAACAAAAATCACCATTTCATGTGTGAGTATTGATTTAAAAAGTGTAGATTAGGGCTGGGGATTTAGCTCAGTGGTTTCGCCGCCTGCTGTGCAAGCGCAAAGATCCGAGTTTGATCCCCGGTACCAAAAAAAAAAGTATAGATTAAAATCCTGGCAAGTTGAACTCAGTGGTTTGCTAGAAAAGTAAGGTTTAAGTGGCAGCCTTCACTGGCACGATGGCCAAGGGCTCTCTGCCTGCCGCTGCTTCCTCTTCCACTCACCTTGCCAAGAGTTTCCAATCTTTATATATGTAATTATTCCAGTTTGACCTCTGCTTTTCCAAGGACCCAAACTCAATAAGATATTTCAATAAACTATTTGTGAACTAATATTTTTTAAAATTAGATTTCTATATACAAAAACAGAAACATCTATTCAAAATGTTCACTATATGTCCAGCACTTTGTAGGATCCAGGAATACAGAAGTTAGCAAACTACATAGATCTTGGTCCACAGGTGCCTCGAACCAACCCCACCCAAATTCAGATGTTGAAGCCCTAAGCCCCATGTTATGGTGTGAGAATGGGCCTCTGGGAAGTGCAGTAATGAGGGTTGGATGTCATGATGACCAGTCCACCATGATGAGATCAGTGCCAGTGTAAGAGGAGACACCAAAGCTTGCTCTCCACCATGTGAGGCACAGTGAGAAGGGATCACCAACAAGCGAAAAGAGAAGCTCCACCAGAGCCCGACCCTCCTGCCTCCCTGATCTTAGACTGCCAGCCTCTGAATGATATATATCTGTGAGCCACACAGTCTGGGATTTTGTTACAGCAGCCACAGCATCTCACTGGTAAAGCCCTGTAAACCATGTTGAGGATTTTGGTCTTCATGAGAAGGGAGGAGATAAAAGGTTATTTACACAAGAATAATACATAGATCTGCAGGAGAATGAGATGATGAGGATGAGAATATGCAGGCCGTGACTGGTTAGTATGCCGTGGTAGCAGTCCAGGAAAGAATGATGGTAGTTTGAACCGGGGTGCTTCTAGTGGCAGAAAAAGTGCTGAGGTGAATGATGATGCATGTTGTGTTAGGTTAAATCCACAGGGTTTGGGGGTTGAGCCTGAAGAGAGAAAGGAGAGGGGTGACTCCCGGGAGGAACCAGGATGTCATTTACCAGTGGTAACTGGGAAAGGAGTGGGTTTGAGAGAAACATCAGGAATTGAATTTCAGGCATGCTGGACTTCAGGTGCTTCTGAGACACCCAAGTGGCAGTGTTGGAAGGAATTCAATGGATCTAGAGTTCAGAGTTGTGATCATGTAGGTGGTCCTTAAACTCAAAAGTGATCGATACACCTAAGTACAGGAAGATAAGGGGCTAACACGGAGCAGTCAGAATTCCCCAAATTATAGAAACAGTAGAGGGCCGGGGATTTAGCTCAGTGGTTCTGCCGCCTGCCTCAAAATCACAAGGTCCTGAGTTCAATCCCCAGTACAAAAAATAAAAAATTTTTTTAATAAAATGGGTAGGGAGTTGGGGATGTAGCTCAGTGCAAACGCCCTAAAAAAAACAAAGAATTGAAAAATGGGCAAGTACTTAGGTAGGAAAGCTAAAACAAAGGTGAAATAAACATGAAAACATTGAATTTTATTCCTGAATAAAAGAAACTAATTAGAGTAACAAAGAGCTGTTATTTATTGCCAGTGAGACTGGCAAAGACAAGCGGGATGGGAGCACAGAATGGCAGAAAGCGAACCCTGACCACCAGACCTATGTCTAGGAATGTGTCCTAAGGAGATGATGTACTTGCCTGTAAAGTGAGGCTAAGGCAGGAGGGTTACTGCATTCGAGGCCAGCCTGAACTATATTGTTGAGTTCAAGGCCAGCCTGAGCTGCATATTGAGATCCTGTCTCAAAAAGATACAAGCACAAAAATACTAAATAGAGAATTAAGTCACCAAAGAGTAACTTTTTTTTTTTGCTTTTTGAGACAAGGTCTCGCTATGTAGTTCAGGCTGGCCTCAAACTCACAGTGATCCTCCTGCTTCAGCCTCCCCAGTGCTGGGATTACAGGTGTGCGCTGTGACACCTGCTCTGAAGAGTAACTTTTAGATCTCTCTCTCAAATATTTTTCAACATTAAACAGGACCTTTTATATTTGTGGACATGAAAAATGTCTGCAACATATTGAGTGCCAAAAAAGTAGATGAATTATCATATTTGGGTAAAATGTATATGTATAGTTATACTCATGTAGATACACATTAAAAGAACTTCATCAAAATCTTAGTAAAACTTTCACTTTGTCTGGGCTGGGGATTTAGCTCAGTGGTTCCGCCACCTGCCCTGCAAGTGCAAGGTCCTGAGTTTGATCCCTGGTACCAAAAAAAAAAAAAAAAAAAAAAAACTCCAAAACTTTAACTTTGTCATTTTGTATTTTCTGCACGAAATGAAAAAATTGATGTCAAAATTGCCTTTGAGTATCTTGTGTTTGTGTGCACAGGTACACATGCGTGTGTTTTGAGACAGGGTCTTGCTATATAGTTCAGGCCAGCCTTGAACTCACTACGTAGCTCAGGCTGGCCTTGAACTCTTGGTGATCCTCATGCCTCAGCCTCTTATATGCTGGATTACAGGCATGGGCCACACCTCAAATACATGACTTAAAATATTTTAAACACAAACATATTTGAGCATCACACTTAACACTGACAAAACTCCTCTCCTTGATTGGATCCTAGGGAGGCTCCTCTGAGCCCTCTTCCCAAATAGGCCTCAGCCTTGGTCTAAAGATTTGAACAAAAGCACAGTTTCTAACAGCTCAAGGCAGTTGCCTTGGATGACGGGAGCTCCCTATAAATGCCCAACAGGCAAAACTCCCGGCTAACAAAGTGGCTACTTCTTCCAGCCAACACCTACAGACAGGGCCCGTGTCCCTGCCTCTGGGGAGGGGTGCCCCCAATTCCCACAGCAGCAGTGAGTGAGCCCAGGTGACTTGTGGGGACCAACACCCCTTTGCCAAATGTGATTTTTTAATTTCCCTGACTCAAGTCTCTGCCCTTCCCTCCCCTCCCACCCACACGTTCCCTTTCATAGACCTATTTGTCTGTGTCCATGCAAGTATTTGGTTCACACTGGATTTTAGCCTATTGCACTAAGTTATTACTAATTCATTATTACTAATTAAAACTCACCCTTACCACTTTAATGAGTACCTGGCTTATCTTTGACAAGCAAGTTTTTCCATAAATTTGTTATTTAGCCAACTTCCTTTACAAACATTTTGAATGCACGGAGTTTTGATTTCAGTTAACCTAGGGAGTTTCTGCAGCATCTTATTTGTGGACTTACTGGTTTCCGTACTTCACAGAAAGGCTAGGCACTTGACCGGACAACAAAATCATGGCTCAGCAGAATATTATGCAATCAGATTTACCATCTCTTCCTCTATCTCCATGCTATGAGAAGAAGTGTTCTCTGGGATTCTGAACTCTGCTTTTCCAATCTTGTTAGAAGGGTGTTTCACCTTTGATTCCCTCTAATTCACTGTTTCTACAGCAAACAGGGTGACCTGTTTAAAATGGAACACTAATCATATCCCTTAAGTTGTCGCTTAAAACCCTTAACCTATTGCCCATTGTTCCTGAGAGAAAATCTAAAGCCCTCACTGGGCCTGAGAGGCACATTCTCTCCCTGCGTGTCCCTCGGCTTGGTTGCCATGGAGTTTCCTATTCCTGGAATACGCCAGTGTCTGGCCCTCTGGCCCTTGTAGCAGTTGTCATCCTACTTGAAAGTCTGTATTTCCCTCTACACCACTGACAACTTCTCATATTTTAGGTCTCAACTCCATGTCACCTCAGAGAGGACTCACCCAGAAAACCTGTCACCCCCCCCCATGAATAAGTTATTTCCAAAGCACAAACCACAACCTGAAACTATCTTAAATTCTTTGCATATTTGCAAAGAACCCAACTTCAAAGTAAGTTTCTTGAGGGCAGGACACTATAGTGTTGTACAGCCAAATATTCAACAACAGGTTCCCTCGAACCCCCAAATCCTGCCATACAGCATTTCCCAACTTCCATGATGTACATCCTAGCCCTGTGGCTAATTTCAAACTGCAATGTGACATTAAATAGCTTGCAGATTTTCCTGAAAATTGAACCATCAACTTCCACAAGCTAGCACAAGCCAGCTGCACACACCACTGGGATCCTGTTTCACTTATTTACTGCCATGAACAGAGCTGGGGCTGCTGTGGTTTGAGCTTGTCCCCAAGGGCTCATTCACTCACAGCTTGGTCCTTGGGTGACCATGGTGGGGCCCATGGTCCTGAGGTGACCTGCAGGTGTGCCCTCAGAAGGGACTGTGAGAAATTTCCTGTTTGACGTGTTCTCTGCCTCTGCCTCCTGCCTGGATGTCATGGGGACTCCCAGTCTTGGACTTTTGACCTCCAAAATGTGAACAAAATAAACCTCTTTTCTTTATATTGAAGTACCCAGCCCTGGTTATTTTGGTACATTAGTGAAAAATAGACTAATATGAGGACAATGCCTTCTAAGTCTCTATCTCTACAACAACAAGGGTGATCTTTTTTAAATGCAATGTAGATATTGAATTTTCAGTTGATTTGGTTTTTTTGTGGGGGGGGGCAGTGCTGGGGATTGAGCCCAGGGCCTTGTGTACAACTAGACAAGTGCTCTACCACTGAACTACATCCTCAGCCCCTGGGATGATTTAACTTTTAATTCTATTTTATTTAATACACATTATAGCTAATTGAGTCTTGTTCAGGGGGGTTCTAACAAACTAGAAGTTCTCTAAAATTGGTAGAAATTACTCCAGAAATAAAAATTTCCTGAGTCATCAAAATAGGTTCTGAAATGAAGGAATCTCTTTCTCTAACAAAGATCCTCTGTTTACCCTGCTTCCTTCTGAATCCTACCAAATAAACATCTCAGGCTGAATGATTTCAGTTACAGCACAGAGCTGCTCAAGAGAAAAGATTTCAGAGAATGCTGTAGGAGGAGCCATAAAAGAGCTGGTTCTGCTGTACTTGGCAGAGTAATAAGGTTGAAGGGAGGAGACTGGGGACAACTGCCATGCCACCGGTGACGGAAGTCAGTCAGGCAAGTAAGATGTTTACAACGTTCGCTGGATCTTATGAATGGATGTCTCCACTGACACCCCTCTGAGAAGCTTTTCAAGGACTTGGAATGCTCTTCAGTCCTCTTTCTGGATGGCAGACTCATTTGTTGAGTCCAGCCGCAGGGGAGCCAGACCCCAACCCCATATTCACCACAGCCACACAACCTTGGGCTACAAGGGGCCTGTACTGCAAACCTAGATGACAGGCATGTGCCAGGAGGACTCAGCTATCTGCAGGAGGAACCAGTGCCATATGTCACTGAACTGAGGATGAGGGATGCCTGGTGTCATGGGCTAAGTGTGTCCCTCCAAAATTCATGTGTTGAAATCCTGATCCTTAGTGTGAGGCTATCATATTTAGAAGTGGGACTTTGAGGAGGTAACTAAGTCTTGAGGGTAAGCCCTCCTGAATGGGATTTGTGCCCCAGAGGAGCTATTTCTTCCACTTTCCAAATATAAAGCTTCAGTGAGGAAGCAGCCATCTACCAGCCAGGAAGAGGACCTTACCAGAACCACCCACTGTGGGCACCTGAGCTCTAGAACTGTGAGAAACAAATTTCTATTATTTATAAGGCTCTGATATTTTATTAGAGCAGCTTGAACTAAGACACCTGGTTTCTAGAACTGCCTGGTTTCTAGAAGTTTCCAAGGGTGGGAGGATTCAGTCAGTCCCTGGCCTATCGGCAGAGGCCTGACTAGTCTTTAATTTTGTAGCAAAATGCTTTTTGGTTTTCTTGAACTACATACTTAAAGCTACCATTATTTCTGTTACAGTTAGTTTCTGACAGCTAAACAGCTCCGAACATTCATTTCTAGAGGTGCATCTGTATTAAACTTATAACTGTAGTCATTCAAGTGTACAAATATATCACTGGTCACTTGTAAACATTTTCCTTTAGCTGATTTAATAGCTGTCTTAGGGAACAAGAAAGAGGAAACCCATACCAGCCCCAGGATGCTAAGCAGAGCATCCAGTTGGTCCAGTTGGGTTCTCTCCTGCCCTACAAACCCACCAGAAGACTGAGAACCCAGAGACTCAATTCCTAATGAAAGCTGGAGATATTAACCACGCCTTGGTCTGCTCATCCAGGGGAAGTCAATATTTTAATCCTTTCACCAATGGGCTCTTTTCTGAAAATGATAAAATAGACATGAAGGAATTTTGAAAAGCAAAAGCATAAGACAAAAGCAGCCCCCATTTTTCTTTAAGATAAGTAGGGAAAACACTCCCAAGAGAGTTAAACCTCTTTAAATACCTGGTGGTCACAAAATCCCTATGTTAAATTATAAGAAGTCTCCTCACCAAGACCCTTCCTCTGAAAATGTCACCTCCTAGCTGTGGTGGCTCACAACCCTGGCTCTTGTCCATACTGATGCAGCTCAAGCAGAGACAAATGACCAGACCTGGGCCAACAGGAGACCCTGGCTAGGGACCCAGAGAAGCGATCAGTGTCTTCTGAGGGGCAGAGCTAGGGCAGGTGTGGGGATTTGTGAGAATGGCCTGCACACAGCCAAGCAAGTGCAGCTCATGCATCATTGAGGAGACACTCATCATCCCACCCGGGAGAGAGGAGCAGGGCCTGCATGCTCAGACAGGCTCCAGGAAGACAGGAGGGGCACCGAATCATCTCAGGACCCAGCCTCAGTCTTGCCTTTCCTGCAGCAGCCTGACCAAGTGGATTTCTGTTTCCTGTTGCAGTGCAGAGGGACAGGCCACATCACCCTCTGTAGAGCGAAGACCTGTGGGTCAAATCTTCCTGTTTGCTCTCCTGAAGCTTCCTTCCTGTCACCCTGCATCTCAGCCCATCCTGCACCCAGTGTGCCTGTGCATAACAGTCCCCTGGCCCAACACCACCTCCCTGCACTTCCGGGCTCTTTTTCCATTGCGAGTGTAGACAATCAACCCAACAGATTTCCAGCCACAGATCTAACTCAGATTCAAGCCTATAGTCAGTCACCTGCTCCAGCTCCTCATGCTATCCCTTCCTTTTACATGTTCTTCCAACAATACCCAGCTGAGCAAATCCCAAAGAGCTAACCCTCTGCACCATTGACTGGTCGGAAGCCCGGTGCACCAAAGCAACCTGTTTCTCTATGCAAAAGTGCTGAAGAGTGGGGCAGTGGTGCCTTTGGAAAACTCAAAAGCGAGCAGGAATACTGGGTTGTGCCTTTAATCTTTTGGGGTTGGTCCCCTTTCCCCACCACCCTTGGGCGCACCCCTGAAGACACCCTCCACCTACCTGGGATATGAATGGCGCCACCATGGCCCCGATGCGGCACAGGGAGCCACTGGTCCCCATTCCCAGGGCACGCATCGTGGTGGGATAGACCTGGGAGAGGCACAGAACCAGTCACTGTCCCTCCTTGGCCTCACCCTCCCTCCCCAGGCCAGGCTCCAGTAGTTCAGAGAACCAAATGGACTTTAGATCACAGCAGCCCTAATCTCCCCTGGTCCCCAACTTGGAGTTTTTATAACAATAAATATCAGCCAAAAATAAACACTTTAGAAAGTATACTTAAAGTTACCATCATCCCGAAGTGTATGTTTAATTGAATTTTCTAAATTTTAAAAAGATAAACTCTGGAATCAGACAGCAAAGTCCCCTCGTAGAGGTATAAATGAATAAAAATGATTCTTCTGCATGGGAAGAAAATGCTTCCCTAGAAATAATGATCCAACAAAATCTTTAATACAGCTGCAGTGAGAAGAACTAACCGGAGGGCCAGAGACCTGCCACACTCACCATGTTCTCATCAAACGCAGTGGTCTCAACTGTTGCCAAAGATTGCAGATACTCTACTTTCTTTCCACAATTTCTTTTTTACATTTAGAGTAAAACAGCATTAATCTGTACTTCATTGATTCTGGGATTTTTTTTTTTTTTTTTTTTTTTAGATAGGGTTTCGCTATATAGTTCAGGCTGGTCTTGAACTCAGTGTTCCATGTGCCTCAGCCTCCCAAGCACTGGGATTATAGGCATGCGCTTTACCACACCTGACTTAACTTTGAATTCTTATAGGAACTGGCAGGAAAAACAAGTCAGCAAGCATTAAATAAAATTATAGGGAGAATATCTTGTATAGAAAAATGGTGTCTCAAATTTTGGGAACTTTTAAAAACTGCCACATAATATTGATGAAATCATTTTTATTTATTTACTAAAGCAAAGCATGTAGCCCTTCAGTAGGCCACATCTTTTTTTTTTTTCCATTAAGTTTATTGGTACATTTTAGGTATAAAATACAATTACATTCATCATTGGGAACTTGTACCTTTATGTGACATATCTTGGTTCTTATTTTTTCCCCATTCCCCTGCCCTCCCTTCATTCCTTCTTCCTTCCCTATTTACAGAGACTTTGTTTCCATTTTTTTTCCTATTCTCATATTTTTTCTTTTCCCTTCTTTCCTTTCCTCTACCCCTCCCACTTTCCCTACTCCTTTAGACCTTTTCTTCCTATTATACAATATTAATTATACATTTTTAAATTGCAATATGAAAACATACAGAACACAGAAAAGGATGTAGAAAGCATGTTACAAAAATCTTTTTTTGCGGAAGCGCAAGGAACCAAGTTTGATCTCCAGTACCCAAAAAAAAAAATCTTTTTTGAAATGAATTTGACAACTTCTATGAAGTATCTTGGAAGATAAATTAATGAAACTGACTCTGGAAGAAATATAAAATTTGAATAGCACCTTTTAAAGAAAGTATATTCCTAGCTTGAAAACCTACCTATATGACAACAGGCTCATATACATTTTAACTGATTAATTATATCAAACATTTAAACCAGAAAAAAAGAAGGAACACTTCTCATTTTAGGAAATCAAGATTGTGCTAATACTAAAACTGGATAAAGATAATAGAAGAAAAAAGTATGAACGTAGATAGAAATTCAACAAAACAAACTATTAGAAGTCAGATCTGGCAGTATGTAGAAAGTGGTTTTATTATAAATGGCAGTGTTGGTTCAGCATTGGAAGATCCACCCCCAAAAGTCATCATTTTAACAGAGGAAAGGAAAAAGCCATATGATCCTGTCACTAGTT